TCATGTCCTTTCTCTTTCTGTGATTAGTGAGATTTACAAAAAAACTGAATCAAGCCTAAAGTACCAAATCTGACCGTGCTGATTGTCCACCAAAAAAACCCATTCTCCCTTTTCCTACAATAACTGTATTAGCGCTGGGAACTGGTTACCTGGCTAGCTGGTATTTCCCAAACTCCTTTGCTGTTAGATATCACCTCCCGACTGAGCTCTCTCCATGTGAGCAAGAACATGGCATGCCACTTCAAGTCTGGGCCTAAGACAATGGACATACATTCCACCCCCCTCTTCCGCTTCCCACTACTGGAACCTAGCCATGGCATATTGTAGTTTGACCACATAAACAAAGACATTACAGTTGTGGTTCATGGAGCAACAAGATAAAAGGAACCTGAATCTCTGAATCTGAGTCCCATAGATCTGTCCCACTGAACTCTGGATTATTATGTGAGAAAGAAACTTCTCTAGTCTTTAAACTACTGTATTTTGGGTTTGTTTGTTTTTTTATAGCCTTACACAGACTGTTTCAGAAGAGAAAGTATATTATGAAGGGAAAGGTATAGTATTCAATGACAATATATTCTAATAGGAGGTACATTGAATTTTTTCCCATAGCTATCTTTTGCTGAACGCTGGACTAACCTTATACCAGTGTAGAAGCCATACTGGTGTCCATCCCATATTCCCTGGCTTTTCAGCATGCGCTGGTGAAATTCCCACTTCTGGTACCTGCATCCCTGTGCCTCGGTGCTCTTCTTCCAGCCCTATGCAGGTGCAGACTAAAGTGCTAAGGAATTAATATCCTCAGGAGCAGCCCTCAACCCATGACCTCCCAGGAGTTGGTATACTAATACACTACCTCCCTCACCCTATTGGGTGGGATAATTCTGAGATGTGTGATTTTGCATCAGCTTTCCAGAGCTCCTCTATAGAGTGAAGCTCCAGGTACCCTTTGTGGTAGCTGGCTTACCTGTGTACTTCCTTCCAGTTGCCTTCTGCTTACTCAATCACTTCCTCTACTTCCCTATCATATTCTCTGAACTTCCCAAATAAACCAATTTCACTCAAATCATTGCCTTGGAGTCTGCTTCTGGGAGAACACAAATTAAGATAGCCAGTTTCTTCATACTCACAATCTCAGACAAAACCATTCTCCAACCATAATCTTTATTATTAGATAGTATTATATTATTTTTATGGATGAAGTAATCAAATTTGTGTGAGTTAATTAAGTTAACCAAGATTAGTGTCAGAACTAGAATTGGTTGGAACCCAGGACTATCTCACATAAAAAGTTTTTGCACCTTCCAATATACTAGACTCTACCAGAAGTGGAAGTTTTCTAATTGTCTATTGATGCAAATTTCAGCAGATGATAATGTTGGAAGTTTTATGATTGGATGATATATTTCAGGGAAACTAGACAAAATAGATTCTACATTAGTCTATAATATTTAGTGTTAAGTAAAACACTTCTGATAACACTTTTTGTTAAACAGACATAATTTTTTAACCTGAATAGAAAAAAAAAAAAAGCAGTTTTCAATTACTTGCTAACACACATTTATCTAGCTCTTTTGAAATTAGTCAAACCCTCACCAGAGCCACTTCACTTGAATAAATCTGCTTCTTAAAATGGTCTGCATAGATAGACTCTTTCATTTAGGAACCTAGCTCTACTTACTTCCCTATCCAAACTTGCATAGAGAAAAGGCTAGTAGATGAATACACATGAAGACATAAATAATTCATAAGGCTGGGGGCTCAGGAATTTTTGTATTTGAACAATTAATCAATCTATGGAATTAATAGAATTTTGGTTTAGAATTTCAGAAGTCAGTCAACAAGTAAAATTTAGAGATATTTGATGAGACAAAGTTACCCTTCCTGTATTTTTTCCTAATCCAAGTACTCGTAAGACTAGTTCTACATGAAGCAGGCATATAAAGAGGATAATCAAAATCTGAGGACATAAGAGTTTCTTTACCCTGCATTGTATTAACAATTTAACCTGTGCATTCTTTTTTGTTGTTTGTTTATTTGTTATTGTGTTATGTTCGTCACCATACACTACATAATTAGTTTTTGATGTCGTGTTCCATGATTCATTGTTTGCTTATAACACCCAGTGTTCCATGCAATCAGTACCCTCCTTAGTACCCATCACCGGGCTCACCCATGCCCCCACCTTCCCCCTTCTAAAACCTTCTGTTTGTTTCCCAGAGTCCATAGTCTCTCATGGTTCCTCTCCCTCTCTGATTTCTCCCCCTTCATTTTTCCCTTCTCCTAATGTCCTCCATGCTATTTCTTATGTTCCACAAATAAGTGAACCTGTACATTCTTTTAGATTTTAAGTTAATATTCTTCCAGGAAAAACCCTGCACAGTTGTCACCCACAGGCAATACACCAGATTACTAAATGTTGTATATTAGCATGGAAGTATTACAAGAACTTAAAGAAAAGAGAAGCTGTTTATTCTTCACTACCACTAGATATAATCTAAACATTACATTCCTAAAAGGATATGCAGTATCATTTACATTCTGTCTAGGCAACTGCATTTCTCTCCTGGTCTTAGCTGAACTGTGCAACATGAGCGTAAGCTTTGGTTATTTGAGGTAAACAAACCCTGTGGTCAACGCCTGCTTCAGCTGAAGCTAATGTCAATATGGATGGGCATGGAGGAGAATACTAAAAGTCCAAAAACACTGATTATCTTCAGAAAATGAAATGAGTCAGTTCCTACCCATATTGATGTCAGATTTTTATAGAGAACATGACATCACATAAAGTCTGAAGAAGAATGGAAGCCAGAATAAACAGAGCTATGCATCAAAAAGTCTTAAGTCTCACAGCAGACACAGTTTAGCTAATGTAGTTGGATTCACAGAATTTTTATCCAGACAGACTATGGCAATAAAACAGAAATATGCACATTGGGACATATTTATCTATCTCATAAAAGTGTATAAAATTTTATATACAAATGCAAATAAAAGGACTTTGCCTATCTCCAGAAATGTACATGCTTTTCATTTGCCCAATGACTCACACATGAGGTTGTATCAAGTTTAATTAAGTAATGAAATGTAAAACACATATATGTACCAAATGTATTTCATCTTAAAAGTATTTTTGCCTACTTAAAAAAATACTTTCAACATTCTACAGCATTTCCTAGATTTTAAGCTCTCAAGACTTAAAATATTGGCTAATTGTTAAACATTATTTAATCAAGTGCCAGTAATGGGATAGTGGTGCTGTGATTATTACTGGGTTTTTGTTTTTTTTTTTTTAAGTTCTCATTTATTGGTGATACAAACCAGTATTTACAGGTGGGATCACATGATCTCTTGGGTTTGCTTTACAATGCTTCAAATATTTTGGGGAAAAAAAGGATTGGAGGGTATAGATGAAACAACATAGAATGTTGAAAACTATTGAAGTTGGAAAATGAGTATAAATGGGCTCATTATACTTTTTCTATTTTCTTATATGTGTTTTAAATTTCCATAATGAAACCATAAAACAAGAAAAATATTGAGAACTGAATAAAAACCATGCAGTCTCTATTTAAAAGAGAAAATTAGGAACAGTAACAGTGAGATACATAAATTCTTATCAATAAAGATGATATGATTTTTATTTTATGCTTTACAATGACCATATTAGGAACTTTCTGTGATAATACTAATTTAGCATGCATCTGAAAGGTTTTAATTACATATAGGAACTGCACATTTTTCTTACATATGTTCAAAAGCTATGTTAAATATTTATAAAAAGTCAGTTTCAGGACTAAAAACACGATCTTTCTAGAAAAGTAGAATAATCTCATACTCATCATTTTCCAGAAGGGACTTGCAAAGTTAGAAAGCCTCTGGGGTGAAAAGGACTCTCCAGAGAAATCCCAGACAGAGGTGCATCTTAACAATGCAGTAACCCTGTTTGCAGTTCCTCTTTACACAAAAGTTCTGGACATTTTTCTGACAGAAGATTTTTAGGCACTATTTTATATATATATGTTCAAGCCAGATGGTCAATAATATATATCTTAATTACTAAATCATACCTCTTTTGTTTGCAGTAAGCAAAAGAAATGAAAGTTATGTATTCATGGCAGGTAAGTAATAAAATATTATGTTAGTTTAGATAGATTTTAATAATTAATAACACCATTATTAAAATTATTTTGTAGTTCTACATTAAACCTCATTTACATCTAAAGAAAAACATTCTTAAAACCAATACATTTGTTTTTCAACAAAATCATTTGCTTCAGCATCATACGCTACTCCTAATGCATAGTTCTTACATTAATGAAGGTGGAGCTTGAGTGCCATCTGGTGTCCCTCTTTCTCCATCCTGCAGGATTTTCCTCTGATCTTGGCCTGAGAAAATCCTCCTTGCATTAGTCTGGCACTCCAAATGCCAAATTAAAAGAAGGCATTATTTGCCAGACAGATAAATCATCTACTCAAAGACTATAGAATCCTGAACCTCATAACACAGTAATATCTATAATTCATATTCATTTTCTTCATGCTAGTTCAAATCCTGTGTGTCCGACCAATCCAAATATTCCCAGCCTGAGAAATTCTGCATTTCCTACACATCCTTCACATTTTGTGGTGTCTACCCTGTTACTTATAGCTGCAGTCACAGCGGCTTCTACATCAGTGGTTCTCAATCTTGAATGCCATTAGAATCACTTTGAGAGTTAAGAAAATAATAATAATGGGTGCCCAAACCCAGTGAGTCTGATTTAATAGATCTGGAATGGGGCAACATGGATCAATAAATTTTAAAAGTTCTCCAGGTGATTCCAGTCTGATCCAGGTTATTTTGTAATGGGTTGTCTGTTCTTGAAAGGTGAGGGCTCTTTGTCCCTCATCTCTGAGACAATACATTGTGTTGGACATACCAAGAACTCAATATATGTGGCAAAGATGAAGCAACTCCAGAGTCTACATGTTTGCTTTAAAACAAGGCAAGACCTGTGTAGTAGTGCATAGAATTCTAGCTTTTTTCCTCCTTTCTCTGTATATTGATCTCAGAGATTACACTGTGTCTCTATGTGAATATGGACAGGTAGCATTTACCAACATGTACCAGTCTACTTTCTCTTATTTAAAAAAAGAAAAAAAAAAACTAAAAAAGGCGGGTTATAGGTCAGCAAAGGGTGGGTTTGAGATGTTTGGGTGGGTTAAGTGGGCATTTTGACAACATGGCTTCTCCTTTGGCGTATTTAATTGTGATGTTTAATGGGCACCCTTGCAGTTCAAGATGACACTTTTAAAATAAAACTCTCTCCTAATGAAAAAAAAAATAATAACTTTTTTTTTTAAAAAGCAAGAAGAGGTCCAACTGCAACATCTTAGATTCACAAACTCTGCTGAGAGTATGCCATTATCCCATTCCCCAGAAGACTAACTAGAGGTACAAACAGCTCTTTTTTCACTGAGCTTCATGCAACTCAATTAAATAATTTAGTACACAGATATTTTTTAAGTAAAGAACTATGTTGTGACAAATCTATTTATCTATATACATGTATATATGCATATGTATACATATATATAATACATGCAGAAGTCAAGAATTAGAAGATTATTTATAATAGAAAAATACTGGAAATAATCCAATGCTTATTTATAAGAGACTGGTTGAGTAACTTATAGTATGGAATGCCATGCAAACATAAAAAAGAAAAGAATAAGAGAGATCTTTATGAATTAACATGGAATGAATTCCACTATATATTGTTAAGTAAATAAAATAGTCTATTATATACTACTTATGTGTAAAAAAGAAAAGAAATACATGTTTGGGGTTTTTTTTTGTTTTTTTTTGCCAAAAACAAGAAAAGAAGAATAAACAACAAAAAAAGAAGCCATTTACATTTAGAGGACAGGCGGGAATGGAATAGAAGAAATAAGCATGGAGTAACAATTCTGTGAACATACCATCTTACAGAGTTTCAACCTCTGAATCATATACATTTTTTAGATAATCAGAAAGTAAATCAAAGGACAGTAAAAAAAAAATACACATTAAATTGAACATAAACACAAATGGGCCTAAATGTATCAAATTACAATCAAACAGAAAAAGAATTGATTCAAGTAACTTTTGAACATATTACTATACATCTTTAGTGGAATATATTCTATGGACAAAAGAAAAAGAAATGTTTACTTAGTATTGTACTCTTAGTAGTCATATGTATTAAAATTCTGAAACTGTTCTATTGTAGACACTGTAAATAAGTTAACATTGTTACTACGATCCAAAATTTTCACTGTAAAAAATTGCATACATACATAACAAGTATATATACTAAACAAAAGCAAAATTAAACCCTGAATTGTTAAATTTGGGTTGTAATAATTTTTTTAAATGTTTTATTTATTTATTTTAACAGGCAGAGGTCACAAGTAGGCAGAGAGACAGGCAGATAGAGAGGGGGAAGCAGGCTCCCTGCTGAGCAGAGAGCCTGACGTGGGGCTCTATCCCAGGACCCTGAGATCATGACCTGAGCCGAAAACAGAGGCTTTAACCCACTGAGCCACCCAGGCGCCCCTTGTAATATTTTTTAATTAATTAATTTTTTAGAGAGGGACAAAGTGTACACATGTGTGAGCAGTGGGGAGGGGCAGAGGGAGAGGAAGAGAAAGTCACTTAAGCAGCCTCCATGCCTAGTGTGGAGCCCAAGGCCTGCTGAATCTCAAGATACTGAGATCATAACCTGAGTAGAAATCAAGCGTCCGACACTTAACCTTCAGAGTCATCCAGGTGCCCCGTTAAATTGTAATATTTTAAAAAATAAATTAAAGCAAAGCAATCTCTAACACATAAAAATAAAATTATATCCAATTGGAGCTACAATCACACAGAAAAGAACTTTTCCAAGTAACTTTTTTTAAGATCTTATTTATTTGACAGAAAGAGCAAGCGAGCAAGAGTAGGGGGAATGGCAGACAGAGGGAGAAGCAGTCTCCCCATTGAGCAGGGACCCCCAATGCAGAGCTTAATCCCAGGACTCTGAGACCATGACCTGAGCTGAATGCAGATATTCATATGATTGCATATCTCTACAGAGATACACCTTAAGGATAAATCAATTGCAAAAAAATATTCTTTAACCATTTTCAGTAATCACATTGTGGACAATGTTATTCTGAAATTGTTCTTCAGGATAAAGCAAATGAGTAATTGGGATATGTAATTCTTTGTGTCATTGAGAACCAGGATTCTTGACATGGAAGAAAGGAAATAAAAATGTAAGAAACTTTTAGTAAAAACCCTATAGTCTTAAATTCGAATTCGATGTATTATTCAGGATTACTATTTGATGTACTATCCAGCATAATTCAGGATATAATTCTTCTTATAAAGAAATTCCTAGCTCTCTTCATTGAAAAGGCCTAATTGGTAATAAGCATCCCTGGAACCTAGACTATGTTGATTGAAGTATCATTTCACACTAAAAGATGAGAAGTGTCTGGTTCCAGGTCTACGGCAGAGAAAACATAAGGTGAGCCTTGAAGATCTTCCTTCCACAAGGCAAGGAAATGCTCAAAGACTAGTGAAGTCGTGTCTGGATTCGAAGAGGCTTCCAGTAGCTAAATCTGGGGTAATCTGAGCACCAAAGAAAATAAAAAACAGTAAAGGATTAAAACATGTCAAATTAAAAATAGAGTCCTGATGGCACACAAAGAAATAGAGAGAGAAAAGTTCAGGAGGCTGGTGGGAAGAAAAATTCTTCCTGATAGAGGAATGACAGCTAATAATTGTAAAGGAGTGAAAGAATTTTCTTAAACTAATCATTTTGTCTTCCCCAGTGTAATAACTGATTTGGGCAAGAAGTATTAATGGATGATATAATCATTGGTTAAAGGTTGATGAGGAACAATATATTCACATGGTCTCTAAGTACCCCATAAAATGCCTACCAATTTCAAAGAGGAAAATACATCTTCAAATTCGAGCCAGCTGGCAGTCTGCCCTTAACTAATGATTATCTATTTTGTACCACCAAAAGTAAGACAAACTGACTTACTGAGCTTCCTAATGTGAGGCAATAAGTACCCATCAATTATGATTCAACCTCTTCAGAAATATTTAATTTAAACCTAATCAAAAAGAAATCATAAGACAAACTCGGAATGTAAGACATTTACAATGTCATGAAAAACCAGGCAAGGTAGAGGGAATGTTCTAGATTTAAAGAGACATGGCAACAAAATATGGTGTATGAACCTTGATCATATCCAAAAAGCAAAAACAGCTAAAAACTTATTTTGTGTACAGTTGGGGAAATTCTAATATGAGCTGTAAAGTAGATGATATTATGAAAGTATTGTTTTCTTAGATTTGTTAAAATGGTAGAAGAATGTTAGGAAATGCATGCTGATTGTCATGACGCCTTCAACTTATCTTCAGATGGTTCAGCAAAAAAGCATGTGCATATATACATATATAAATTATTCATAGATAAAATATATATACTACATATATTTACATACATAATACGTTACATATGCAATTTAGAGACATATGTATTCATTATGCTTGTCTTTCAGTTCTTCTAAGTTTTTTGATTTTTCAAAACAAAAATCTAGAAGAAAAAAGAGCTATTTGCTAAGAATGTTATAAAGCTGAAAAATTACGTAAGGCAAAAAAGAAGTGCACAAATGTCATGACTTTTAAAAGATGGAGACATCATTCTCTGTTGTGGCAATCAGGAAAGAATTCATAGAAGGCAATGCATTTCTAAATGTAAAGATTTGAGTTAATAATGACCTTAGAAATATTCTAACTAAACGTCAGATGAAAAAACTGACACATAGAGACTCAGTGGCTTGTCCAGATTCAACAAATGTTTAGTACAAAGCTGTGGAAGTTAAAGCACACAGTCCATAGTGGTTTCCATTAATCCATTTATTGAGCAACTTCTACTCCTACTTCCCACTGGAGATGGACAAAGAAGGACATGTTAAATAAGGAAATGTATAAAGAACTCAATCATTACAAATTTCAATCATTACAAATTACAAATTTGGGCAAAGGAGAAGTTGGAATTGCTGGCTTTGAAAATGGAAGGGTTCATGAAACAAGGCATGTGGACAGCTGCAGAAGCTGGGAATTCCATCAGCTGACAGCCAGCTAGGAATGGTGACAACTGTAGTCCACACTTGCAAGAACCGAATTCTGCCAACAAGCCAAATGAGCAAGGAAAAGGATTCTCCCCTAGAGACTCCAGATAGGAATACAACCCTAACGACACCTTGATTTTTAGCTCAGTGATGCTCATAGTGGACATATGATCTACAGACCTGTAAGATAATAAATTTATATTGTTTAAAAAGAAATTGGTTGGGGACACCTGGGTGGCTTGGTTGGTTAAACATCCAACTCTTGATTTCAGCTCAGGTCATGATCTCAGGGTCATGAGATCGAGCTTCACATGGAACCTGCTTAAGATTCTCTCTCCCTCTCCCTCTGCTCCCCATCCCATACCCATTCACATGTGCTCTCTTTCTCTTAAAAAAAAAAAAAAAATTGGCTGGACAAAAAAGCGAACCAGGGATTTATTAGCTCGTATAACTGGAAAGAGCAGGTATAGAGACTAGTGACAGGCCTCAGATAGCACTGGATTAGAACTCAAATTATGTTTACCATTTCCCTCATATTTTGACTCTGCCTCTCCTTGTATGAGGATCTCAGTGTTGCTCTTTAGAGACAGATTTCCTCACAGAAACTCTAGAACTACTACTCAGTTCAGCAAATTCAGAGAAAAGAGAGGACTTCCCTTTCAGTGTTCATATATATAATCACACAGAAGGTTATTGATTGTCCTAGATTGGATCATGTTCAAAAAAAAAAAAAAATCCCTGGCCTGAGGGACAGAGCACCATGTGTGGCCAGATCAGGGTCACATGCAACCCCACCATGCACAGTGCACAACTCCTGCCTGCCCACCCCAGCCCTGCCAACCACATGAATGAAAGAAGGATAGATTCCCTAAGATGAAGTGTGAAAAGGAATGCCAGGTAGACAAAAACAAGAAGTAATAATACAGTGAGTAAACAACGGGAACAAACTGTAAAGGTAAAAACACCACAAACTGTTACAGGAAGTAGGAAAACCTCAATTCTGATAGGGTTCCAGGAACTAGTGAGAGAAAAGGTCCTTGAGGTGGTATTGTAGAAGTTAGTGAAATAGTGAAATGACAGGCAGAAGAAAGCAGTGCTTAATATGGTAGAAAGTGAAGAGCCATAAGCTTTGAAAGAAAGAAAGATGAAACACAATGACATAATTTAATCCGGGATGTGGGAAGATTATCAGTCATCAGTGTATGACAGTGTTTCTCAAAGTATAGTCCTTGGCCCACCAACATCAGAATTCACCTGGGTACTTTGTTAAAAATGCAAAATCCTGGGTCCCACCCAAATTTACTAAATGAGAATCTCTAAAGTTGGGTCATAGGTGAACATCACAGGCATTATTTCTATATTCTAAAAGCTGAGAACAAATAGGGTTGAATTCTGGCAGAAAGAAGTGTTTAACAGGATACATTTCCAAAATGTTTTAGCTAATTGAACACCTCCTACTTAATCCTTGATGCATTGGTGTCTATTACTATCAGAGTGGTGGGCCAATAATTTAGCTGCTCTGAGCCACAGCAACCCAGGATATAAAAAGTCAAATTTGGGCTAATAACTAATCTCCTTTAACATGGTATCATGCTTTTTAAATCCTGTTTCTTGAAGCATTTCTACATCCATATGCAGTAAAGGGTTAATTCAGTAGGCTTGGGTTGTTGCTCAAACATGGCACATTCCAAAGAAAGCGCTGTCCTTTGATGCTCCTGGAAAACACTTCTGCCTTGGGGTGACCTGTCTAAGAGCATGTTTATGTGCCTCCAGCTTTGTGCTATGCTGCAGCACTTTGGACTTTGCAAGGCTGGATCCCCACATAAAAATACTGGTTCCCGGGGCGCCTGGGTGGCTCAGTGGTTAAAGCCTCTGCCTTTGGCTCAGGTCATGATCTCAGGGTCCTGGGATCGAGCCCCGCATCGGGCTCTCTGCTCGGCAGGGAGCCTGCCTCCTCCTCCTGTCTCTCTCTGCCTGTCTCTCTCTGCCTGCCTCTCTGCCTACTTGTGATCTGTCTGTCAAAAAAAAAAAAAAAAAATACTGGTTCCCAACTGACTGATGCCCAACAAAAATACTGGATACCAAGGCTCAAAAGAGTTTCCCTGGTTCACTAATTTGCACATGTTGTCACATATCTTCGGTGGGAGAAAAAGACATCCACCTAGGACTACACTGAGAGGCAACACCTAGAAACTTGTTCTTGGTTCCCCCAGGACTTTAGCCACGTGTATTTTCCCAGTGATGACTTCAATCTTGATCCTTTCGCTGTAATAAGCCTTAGCCATGAATACAACAGCTTTTCTGAGTTCTGTGAGCCCTTCTAGCAAATCATCAACCCTGAGGTTAGTCTTAGGGAACACTGACACAATCAGCACTTCAACATTATACTTTCATATTGTGGTTTCCAATGCAATTAAGCTTAAATATTGCTTAAATAAAACATTTTGTATTAGTTTTTCATTCTGTTGCCCTTTGACCCAATACCTGTTAGAAATTTATCCTAAAGAGTTCATAATGAAATAAGGACAGTCCTATCTCAATTTAAAAGTTTATTATAGTATAGTAGAAAATTGAAAACAACTTAAATTTTAAACAATACAGGTATGATTTAATGAATGATAGTAGGCCCATTTGGTGGAATAGTTATTAAAATGCTAAATTAAAGAACACAACTGTATCCAAACCATGTGTGCATATACACAAAGATTAAAAGAGAACATAAACAAATAGATGATTTTTTGTAGAATTCAGACATTTTTAAATGCTTATTATTACTGTAAAAATTGTTTTTACAATAAGCAACTAATTTTAAGAGCCAAATTGTAAATGTAATTCTTTGGTTTATGGTACTAATTCAGTATTTTTAATGTGAACTACTAAAAAGCCATCTAACTAAAAAACATATAAACCATCCATTAACTAAAACAGATATTCTATGTTCTATGTGGAATCCAATTCCCATCACAGGATTAGGAAATAAGAGAGTGGAGCAACGTGTTGTAGAAAGGGACTGTATGCTAGGGTCACACCCATGTCGTTGAGCACCAACTTTACTTGCTACAAGCTATGAGTTTATGAGCAGTCACCTTCACCTTGCCAAAACTGAGTTTCTTATTTGTTAAGTGGAAATAATGATAATAAATGCTTTTACGGTTATTGCCACAATAAATGAGTAAAACACTTAATGCAGTGCCTGCATAAGAAAAAGCTAAATAAATTTTCAGTCTCTGCTCTCTCCCTCAGTTCTACTCTCAAAGATTGCAGATCTTAATTTACATATTTTTAAATGCTTTTCTCCTGTGACACCTACTTTCCATATCATATTCATTATAAAGTAATGTAATCTTATGGCATAAATAATGATGACCCAATCATTATTTTATCTTAATATTTTGGTGATTGGCTTAAGGATTGATAGGTACACACATTGCTTTTTTTTTTCATTTAGCTAAGTCATAAACCCAATTTTCAAAATCAAATAATCTCATCTGAACCTGTTACTAATTTTCAAATCCAAAATAAAGCAACGTTAGCCAACAAGTATTTATCAGAGGCCATTAATGAACCAAAACCAACAAAAACAGAAAAATAATGGAATAAAATAATAGTAGAAATCTTACCACAGCCACTGTCACTGCTTTCCAAAAGCTTCTGGGCATTGTATTTTGCTAAGGAATTCAAAGATGGAAAATTTTAGAAACTGTTTCTCTATTTTTAAGTGCACAACAGAAAATTGTGTTCAAATTGTCTTTCCTTGGTTAGTTCAAAAGCAAAATAAAATGATAGTGCACAAATATTTTCATCCAGTTTGCAATGTTTCATTGTATATCCAGCCTATCTGATATGTTACTTTAATTATGTTTTTGTGTGGGAAGTGTTGTCTCTTACCAAAGCATGTTCTTTATTTGGTCAAGCAGGAGCTTCAGAGAAAAAAAGTAAGACAATTTTCATTTTCTTACTGGTGGGAGTCAAATCTGCATTGAAGAAATATTTGTCATGCTTACCACATTTTTGTTACATACTTGTCTCAAAACCAGTGTACAACTTTGAAGGAAGAAGAATGGCTGCTGTGTATAATGTTGGAGAAGTATTCTCTGCCACCCATAATCTCTCCTACAGTATAATCAGGCCAAACTTTCCAAAATATAACTTTAATTCTGAATCTTGCTCAAAATTTCCTACGCTTCCTTTTGTTTCTTACTTGACAACCAGGCTGTCCAGCCCACCTTCAGTGATTACTCTCAACAAAAGCACCCGAATAACAAAACTAGTCCACCTCTGTACTTTTCTCATCCTGCTACAACTGGTTAGAATCACTTTTATCTAAATCTTAATCATCTCTCAAGACCCAGCTAAAGCCCTCTATCATTCATAAGACCTTTCCCAGTCCTCATGGTTCACACATTAGCTCTCTCTGAATGTCCATAGCAGCTTTTATCTGAACTTTCCTTTTGGCATTTAATAAAATACTCTCTTGTGCCCTTGCCAAGTCTTTTTTTGATCCACCTTCTACTCCAGTTCCTGGAAAATAGTAACTGTATACCATACAAACAAAGATGATTATTTTATCTGTGGCAGATTGTATTATTGTTCAAAATTATTCACTCCTTCCTTTATGAATAAAATGTTTCCCCTTCACCTCTGACCCCTATGAACTTTGGGCTTGGACATCTGACTTGCTTTAGCCAATGGAATATT